CTCTCTTCTTTCTTTCTTTCTGTACTGGTGATTGAACTCAGGGGCACTTAACCCCTGAGTCACATCCCTAGTCCTTTGTTTAAATTTTTTATTTTGAGATAGGGTCACAATAAGTTGTTTAGGGCCTCACTAATTTGCTGAGGCTGGCTTTAAACTTGTGATCCTTCTGCCCCTTCTGAGTCTCTGGGATCACATGTGTGCGCCACCACACCTGGCCAAGAGTTAATTTTTATAAATGTCACCTGTTTATCAGTGTCCTTGTTATTTATCTATTTTCCAAATATACACCATAATAACAATTTTCAGATTTTTAGTTTATTTCCTTTATTTTTATAATGATAATCTTTATAACATTCTTTCGTAACACTAATTATTAAAACAACACTCCAAGATAGTGCTATATTGTCTTCTTTATCTTTATGCGGAGACTGCGTCATGCTGAGACCAAGTCATGATTGGAAGCCACATCATGAGCCCCAGATCATCCTAGAAACAAGAGTGCTTGGCATCCCATGAGACTTTCTAAAGTTGCTTTCTGTAATTGCATATTTACTATTTCCTCAGTAACTTCCCCAAGAGACAACACTCCCTTTGAAAGGGAGACATAAAATTTGATAATATAACTCAGGAAAGAATCCCTGCTCCAATATCACATTCTTTCTTTTACTGACTCAAGTCAATACTGTTTACTTTTGTCCTTTTCCTCTACTCTTATCCTTTATACCTTTCATAGGATTCTGAATATGAACTTCAGAAAAGCCTCATAGAGGCTAATTGCTTTTGTCTTTCCTTTGTTTTCACCCTGATTTCAATCATCTGTCCTATATTTTATAATCTTAAACTTTCAAACTATAGAACAATATATAATTTATATCCATGTACCTTAATTTAAAAAAATAAGAAAAATAACAGTAATCTCTCATTTAGTATGGAAAAGAATAGCATAGCATTTGCTAATTTAAGACAGCTGTTACAAAAATAATCAGGCATAAACATATTCTATGCCATGGGACACTTCAATGGCAATATATGCTTCAAAAGTACACAGCTCACTAGAATCCTGGTGATGACACATCTGTGAAAAGGAACACGTTCAAAAACACAGGAAAAGACACAAGGCAGAATAAAGACAAAAGCAGAGTAAGCCATTTGAACAGGTGTAACAATGAAACATGACAAATTGGCAAGCCAGTTGTTCTATTCCTCCTCCTACAGCCCCTCCCAAGCATTCGTTGATATTTGAAAGTTTCAACCAAAAAGAAATCACTATTAATCCAAAGAAGAAAAGGTAACAATGTCCTTTGTCTGCTTATAAATTGCAGAATATTTTATAATCTTAATAAATACATTCATAAATTGTTAAAAAAATACAGTAGAAATATTACAATTGGGCTCCACAAAAGCTTTTTAAACACCAAGACTTCTCTTAAGTGACAAGTCTTTATTTAAAACATGAAACTAGAAATGAGAATTGACAGTGGAGTTAATCTTTATATTAGCGACTTTGTGAAGAGTTTTGTTAAAGTGAATTGGACATTGTTCTCCACACCATTTCCACATAATTATCATATCCTATTTTATTTTCTGTAAATATTTCTATGTATTATGAACAAAAATGGAACAAGAATTTCAAATTTCAGATGAACTGTTTCTGAATTTTATCCAACTTGGAACCAACCTAGTTATAAAGAGAAGCCTGTTTCTACTTTGATACCCATAAAGTTCAAGAGCAAGATAGAAACAAGACATTTTCATATTAGCAAACCACCTTAGGGTCATGGAAGAACGCAGAGTGAATCTGCGCAGTGTCTATAGAAGGGTTCCTGGAAGCCACACTCATACAAGGATGGCCAGCAATTCCTTAACTATGCCCTGAAGTGACCTACATATCTCCCAGTGAACTCAAATTAAACGTATCCTCTCTCAGCTTCCCCTTGGCAGGATCTGAAAGTGTTGCAATCACTCTAATACCACCCAGCTCAAGGGAAATGTGATAGAGGAAGTCTCAATGGAAAGAAACTGATTGTGGTTAAAATATGTTATTTATAAAAGTTGTACAAAGACTTTGGGCCATATGAACAATTACTAGAGCCCCGCCCAGGACCTTGGAATTGGCAGAACCAGTGGGGGGCCCTGCAGTTTAAACAAGGGCAGGATAATTTAAACTGGTAGAAAAACAGGCTCCTAATCTTGTTTTAGGCCAATAAGATGTTGTGCAAATAGAGTGAATTTTCACTTCCTCTCTTGCTGAGCAGCCTGATGGGCTATATTCTTAAATTTTACCATGACAATGCGATGTATTCTCTCCTGAAGTTGATGTGAACAGGATTTTCTGAGGATTGGGTTAGCTGTTATTACATTTTGCATTTGCTAGGTGTTTTAACTTCTCAAATCTCTCCTGGTTTAGGAGTTTGGATCACATAATTCTCTGTACAGTCAGATCTCTGGAATAAAATGTTTTCTTGTATTTGTTCTAGAAACTCATGGGTGGCCCTAACAACCCATTTAATTCCTTTGAGCTCTGCTTAGAACAGACAATTCAATGCAAGAACAGAACCATGATAACATGTAGAAATTACAATGAAGAAACTTTTTGAAGTGTTTTTTTTTTTTCCAGTTTATTGTATTTGAGGCATTATTCTAATCTCTTAGCAGGAAGTATCTTATTTAATCCTTGCAAGACCCTGTGAAATATGCTCCTTATTCCCTCATTATAGATGAGGAAACAAAGTCACTGAGAGGTTAAAAACAAAACAAAGCAGAACTTGCCTTGAGATACACAGCAAGGGTAGAGCCAAGATGCAGAGGTGGCTCTTTGAGTACAAAGAATACAAAGCCACGCAGTACCAGAGTACACTACAACACTGTGTCATGCATGTCCCTAGCATGTGGAGGGTGCAAGAAAAGAAAGTACATCTGCCTTTGAGATTTCTTAAAGAATATTAAAAAGAAAAATGTATTGGTTTTTTAACTGACTCTCTTGTGGGACAAGGCACAAACCCAGAATTTGACACTTGGTATGTGCTTTCTACATGTCAGGCTAAGCATATTTTGTACATTAACACATTTAATACTTACTTCTAAAACCTTTTAAAAATCACTATTTGTTATTATTTTTAAATTGATAATTAATATTTGTACATTTGATTATGGCACATTATCATAATTTGAAAACATCTAATGATCAAATCAGAGTAATTAACATTTTGAGTTTTTGAAATATCATCATTTCTATGTGTTGGGAACCTCCAAACTCTTTCCTACTTATTTTTAGGTGTATAATAATTGCTACAGACTCTTGATAACCTATGGTGAATAGAACATGAGAACTACTTTCCTTCCTCTATATTTTGATATCCACCCGCCACTGTTGCCCCTACTCACCCCTCCTAGCCATTCTACTTTCTGCTTTTGTGGGGTCAACTTTTTATTTCCCACTAATGAGTGAGAACATGTAGTGTTTGTTTTCCTGTGCCTGGTTTATTTCACTTAGCATAATGTCTTCTATACTATCCGAGTTGCTGCAAAAGACAGGATTTCATCCTTCTATGGCTGAAGAGTTTTCAATTGTGAACATATGTTACATTTTTTTTTTATCCATTCATCTGTGGTGAACAATTTGATTGATTTTGTATCTTGGCTATTATATATGCAAATGCCATGAGTGTGCAGGTATAGCACAATGATTTCATTTTATTTGAATATATGCCCAAAAGTATAACTGCCAAATCATATGGTAATTCAGTTTTTTGAGAGACCTCCATATTCTTTTTCATGTGGTACCAACAGTGTATGAGAATCCCTTTGTCCATGTCTTTATCAACATTTGTTATTTTTTTTTTTTTGTATTTTAGATGATAGTCACTCTTACTAGGGTGAGGTGCTATCTAAGTGTTGTTATGATTTTCTTTTCCCTGATGATTAGTGATGTTGATTTTTTTTTAATTCAATGCTCACTAGCCTTTGTATATCTTCTTTGGAGGAATATTTTTTTCAGATTATTTGCCCTCTTTTAAATTAGACTTATATTTTTTCTACTGAGTTATTAGAGTTATATATGTCCTGGATATTAATAATGTATGAGATGAATAGTTTGGAAGCATTTTCTCCCATCCTATAGGCTGTCTTTAACTTATCAATGGCTTTATTTGACATGCAAAAGATTCTTAGATGTAATCCTATTTGTGTAGTTTTGCTTTTTTTGCATATATATATCTTGAAGTGTTTTCCCTATTTTTTTTCTAAGCATTTCAAAGCTTTGAGTTTTACATTTAGGTCTTCAATATATTTTTAGTTGAGTTTTGCATATGGTGAGATGTAGGGGTCTAGTTTGATTCTTCTGCATTTGTTTATACACTTTTTCCATTTCTGTTTATTGATGAAACTGTCATTTCTCCAATTTATGCTCCTGAAACTTTTGTAGAAAATCATCTGGCTGTAAATATACATGAATATGGGATATCTTTCAATAGTGTGTGTGTCCTCTATGATTTATTTATCAGTTTTATAATTTTCATTAGAGATCTTTAGCTTCCTTCATTATTTGTTTGCATGCATGTGTATGTGTGCTCATACATATAACAAATGGGATTTCTTCTGTTTTTGTTCATTTTCAGACAGTTAATTGTTGTTATAAAAGTCACCATTTTTGCGTTCCTTAGAATGACAGACTTGAGGCACAGAATGATTAGTTTAATTGCCTAAGGTCACACAGCAAATAGAGGTACAAGTGAAATTTAAACCCAGGCAATCAATTATCAGAATTTAACCTCTTAATTATATACTTTTGAGAATGATATTTTCTTAGTTGCCCTCCTAATTTATCAGACCCATCTTGTCTCTTGTTCTGTGTTCCAGGATTTTACATCTGCGGATGATATCTTCATTTGTACTTTATTGCCCTCTGACATTGGCGGTATTTGGTCAAAAAAAAGATCAGACTATAGAAGGAGGGAGAAGCTTCAGTATTTCTTCTGTTGCTCCTTCTCATTGATGCTATGGTTGTATGCTGGATTTTTCCTGAAACCAAGGCCAGCATTGGTCCTGTAACTCTTTCCAGCACTTGTCCAACTCCATTAACACACTCTGTCCCCTCATTAGGTCTAGCTCTGATGTCTCCTTCCTGCTTGGTCCCGGTTACATTGCCATCCCTTATAAAAAGGTGTGGCTTTTATTGCCCACACCTCAAATAGAAGGACTCCAGTGGACCCTAGTCAGTTAAGCACCGTGAGGACATCATTTCCATTTCTGACAATGGAGACCCTGAAGAATGTAACACAGCCAGAAGATTCACAAATATGAGCAGTGCTGAGTTAAAGAAAACCTTAATTACGTACCAGTAAAGCAGCACAAATTGGACCATGGATAATGTAAAGGAGATGTGTATCAGAACTGATCCAGCAACTAAGGGAAAAAATAAAGATGTTATGTTGAAGATTTATGTTTCATTTAACTCTAATAGAAACTGTAGAGAGTCTCTTACTTGTCATTGTAATATAAGCTTCTGGCAATGGCATGTATGCAGGCAGGAATCAGTGGAAATCCTACAGATACAAGAGACCAAAATTAAAAATAGGCAGTTTTCTTTATAGATGCAACTCCTAAAATAGTCATAAAGTATGAAAGTCAGAGGTATTCTTGGAGCAAAAAAAAAAAAAAAATACTGACCACTATATGTTTATTGAGTAAATATTACCTGTATGGTCAAGCAATAAGTACAATGTACTTTTATGTATTTTTTTGTGTGTTTGTGTGTATGTAGGTGTAAATTTTCTTCCAATATAAGTCATTTTGAGTTGGTGGACCTCAGAGCTTAAGTCCATAAATGTGCTGATTGAATGCCAAAGCCTAGAAGAAATCCAGTATTTATATTTTGTCTAAGAGATGAAATTGGCTAATATTTAGTATACAATCAAAAATGGAAAAATGTGAGCCTGATAAGAATATCTACTATGAGAGACAGACTAATAGTAAGTCATTTTCTGTTGAAAAGAAGGAAGAAAAATGTTTTATACCAGCAATTATGCATAGTTTTAACCTTCTAAATCATAGCTTTACAAAATCAGATGAAGAAATGCTTGATAAAGGTATCTAGAATGTTCTAAAAATTGTGTTTATGCATACACAAACCTCTTTATAGTGGTATCTATTCCTTAAACTTGATCTAAACAGATGGTAAATAAGGAAAAGTTATTTTACTCATGTTTTGGGAAACTAGTCTTGTTGAATTCAGTTTGTGCATTTTATACATTTTAAAATATTTCAGCTACTTTTTAAAATACACCAGAGTATGCCACTGCTTTGCTTTGGGAACAATTCCATGTCAAGAGTTTATGTGGAAAACAAATACATTTTTTTTTCATGGCTTTATTCATTTATTGACACCAGGAAGAGACTAGATCCCTAATTCATGATTCTCATTTTACTTTTTAGTCACTATATATTCAGTCAACCTAAACTATTCACTGGTATATTAAATTACATTGTTATTACAAAAAAAATCCTTACACCTCTCAAATCTATCTTAAACAGTTGAATCAGCAGATGTATGTAGGGGCACTTACCCCAGCCAAGAAAATAATACCACATCAAGTGCTGCTTCTCAGCAAACACAGCCACCACAATGAGTGTGTGCAGGTAAATGCCTTCACAGAGCATCCAGAAGTAGTTGCAGCCCATCAGGTAAAGGTGGATAAACTGAGACACTTTACAACTAACCTGTGGGAAGAGGGAAATGATCTTTCTGTCTTTATTTGTGAATCAACATGTAAAGCAATACTCTATTTTAGGAAACATGAGAGTTTCTGCTCTTCACAAAAATTTCACATGTTAATGGTTAAGATTTGTAAATGCTAGTCTTTATACTTATGGTGATTCTAAATTTTTTAGCCACAGACTCTAAAGATATGTAATGGTATGTCTCTCAGAAAATTCTGTAAACTCCAAATCACTTCATTCATGGATTTGTGTTTCCATAATGCACTCTAGTGACTATGTCATTATAAGTGTAAATATTTCACATGTACTTTACATCTATTTTAATTATGAATTTCTCAATTGTTGCATTCTGTCAGAAAAAAATTTAAGAATGTTAAAAACAATCTATTAAAAGTATCTAAATGTTGCATGCTATTAGTGAAAATACTTATTAAATAATACTCTAATGAGGTAATTGACTACCTTATCCAAACACAAAATATGAAAGCTTAGTGTGGGCATGAAGAAGAAAAAATATGGTTTCTCTTCCTCTTTTCCTGAGGTTTCCACTTTCCCTCCTCTAGTCTTACAGAAACAAGAAGAGGGAGGTTCAAATATTGGATAATGAAAACACAAAAGCATAAGAGAGAGTTTACTCCCTTGATGAAGGGAATAAACTTAAACTTCCCACAGCAATATATGGCAAATTAATTATCCATATAAACTCTGATTTCCAGTCTTAAATTCAATGAATATTAAGGGAAAACTATCATTGTTCTTGAAATAAAAATCTTTCTTTACAAACAAAGTTAAAATGAAAAGTAGTGGAAAATAAATATTGGGTGTCATAGACTAGTAATAGTAACATTTACATAGGAATTAGCTTAAAATATTTTTACATATTTTGTTTTATTTAATCCTTGTAACAATTTGGTGAGGTAGGCATTATCCCCAGGCACATATTTTATTAATAAAAGACTGAGTAGAGGAAAAGTAAAATGCTTTGCTAATACACATAACCTCAATCAAAACTACCTTCTAAACATGATTCTTATAATTCCAATTTTACTATTGTACACCATGTCACCTGTCAAATAAATATATAAAACCCATTTCTTTATTAAGTATATGTGCAGAATGCATGACATCAAATTTTAAATAGTGCAGCTTTATGTGAAATATAATAGTGTGTTAAAGTCTTCTCAAAGATAAAAGGGAGTTATTCAACTATATCTATAGAAACAATGTACCTCAGCTTCAAAATTTTATCTCTATGATTTTTAGATATTAATTTTATTTTATTTTTATTTAGATATTTGTTTGTCAAAGTAAACAAATTTGCATTAACATACATGTAATACAGTAGAAGTGAATGTTATATTAATGTTCTTTTTATATATGTTCTTTTTATTGAGTTTTAAAAAAATAAATGACAGTCTAATGCATTACAATTCTTACTACATGTATACAGCACAATCATTTTAAATTGGGCTTCTTGATTTCAATAAAATGTTAATCTATAAACTATTTGGATAAGAATTTAGAACATGTTTTAGAAAAATACATTGCTACACATGGCATTGATGATATAAATAAATAATACATTTTACCAAGAAGATATTAAAATAATTAGACTATAATTTGTGTTTCGTGTATTAAACAAAACATTTTTTGTAACAAACATACAAGGTTTAGAAATTTGCTTTACAACTCTGTGACAAAACTCTGAATCTCCTGTCCTAGAGAAATTCATTCTAAAATGACAGGATGTTAGCCAGTTTTTTATATTGCTAATTTTACCCCAGTGTGTTTCCTAACCTAGTGATTTTAGGGTGGAACATACACAAGATTAAACAATCCGGATGCACATGAGCAAACAATGAAGGGAATTTTAGAACTTTGGAAATTACCCTAAAAACACACATAAAACACATAGGAGAGTGTTGTTTATTGACCCATTGAGTGAAAATCCCTTTCCTTATCTGATTTCAGTAACTAGATAATGTTAAAACACACACCCACACACAATGACACTACATTACATACACACACACACACACACACACACACACAAAATCCATATCCAAAATTATAGTAAAAACTACAAACATTATGAAATTAGGTAATCATAAAAATTGAATTTATATATCATCATTGTGTATATTTTAATTAAAATACACATACACAGGCACATAGCTTGCATAAAATATATACAATTATATAAGGCAATTTTAACTTATGTTTTTAAAAAAATGACTTGCAAGGAAACAATCTTAGAATGTTTGAGACAATGAAGGTTTGATAGATCTTTTTAAAATTTTATGTTAATTGAAATAGGACATGTATCATTCATTATTTTCCTGGTTTTATATTCTTTTTAAAGTCAGCCTGATACAAAAAGTACAATTCAAATTGAAGTTCCTATTTTCATATATTGTTGTTTCTAGTTATGCAAAGTTAGTCACACTGATTGTTTTTTCACATTGGATGGAGTAAGTGTCATAAAGTCATCATTCCACTGAGTATGGCCATAAAATGAAGTGATAATCTATATAATATGTATAAATAATTGAAATAGATATATTACTCCTTTTACTATTTGCTTTTAATATTTTAGGGAATATTGAGCAATACATTATCTTTCTGTATTGTAATATAGCTACATATACTCTGTATGTCAGTCCTGAAAACATACATGCCTGTTTACTTAGACACATGCTACGTGCACCAGACACTCATCCCCACATTGATTCTCCCTCGCTTCCCCACCAGCCCCTTGAACCTAAAAGGTAGGCTTCGTTTTACTCACAGGATTTGTGGCCACTAAGGCTTGGTTGTTGGCCACTGCCGTGAAGTGAATAATTGTTACAATAGAGTTACAAACGAAAGAGAAGAACAGATTTTTGTGCAAGGTAATCCTTTGGCAACTTAGACTCCTACAAGGCAAGAGAAACAAAGTGTTTTGACATCATAAAATGTTTCTACAATTTATATTAAACATCATTCAAATAAAACACATTTCCAATTCACAGAAGCTGCTCTAATTTTGTAATCTCCCCAAGATTCACTCAAGATAAAATCTTAATTAAAGTAAACCAGTAATTGCCTCAAACCTAGAGGCAAAGTGTTACTTTAGCAGAGTTAGACATTTGTAAGTATTGAAAATTTCCCATATAAAAACTGTACATAAATTTCTTCTGTTAATATCTGAGCATGATTAGACTATAAATTCCCTTCCCAAAAGCAGAAACTGAGATTCAGTACAGATAAATTATCAAAAATTTATGTCAGTAATTAATTTGAATATTTTGGATGTCTCTGTTAGATTCTCACACAGATAATGTGCTTTTCATTGCAGTACCTATTGTCCTTGTTTTGTTGTGATGGTAATAATCATGCTGACCAACCACAAAAAAGACATCATTGCATTTAAAATAGATGAATTGATAAAAATGTAGACTCAGCAACCAATAAGGTCTTCTGTGCTTTGCTAATTTTTTCCGCATTGCCCCAGATACACATAAGTTTTTAAAATAGCACCATCTTTTACTGAAGTTCCTTTTATGTAAAACAAAGGAGAAGAACTGTCCATGTTTATGTAGAAACAGATTTCAAGTTAAATGTCATCATTAATGATAAACAACACTATTTTTTAGCTTGGATTCTCATCCACCCCAAGTTTTTCTGCATGACTATCATACCCACACTCAAAGGTAGACTCAAGCACTACTTCATAAGGCATCTCTTGAAGGCTTGTTACAGGTAACATTTTAAGATAATAGACTGAAACCCACTTGAAGCTGAATACTTAATGTCAAGTCTGAACATATATGTAGGATACATGAGGAATCATTTCATTATCAGACACATAGAATTTCATTTTGTATATTTTACAAAATAGTATTGTGAACATGGTCATCCTCGATAATCCATCCTGTACAATTTAAGTCAAAAATACCTACTATGAAATCTTTAAGAAAATTTCACCCCAATTTATCACTAGATATCCTAAAATGGCTATCTACTTAGAATGTTAGAATCAGATATCAAGGTTTTCTATATTTAAAACATGAATTTTAGGCTATATTACCTCTGGAATCTCTTCCAGTTTTATGTCTGCGATTCTATAGAGAGCTATAATATTTTAAAGACCATGGAAGCAAATGCAATCCAAATCAGGATTATGGACTGACAATACATGCTTTCCACAAAGTTGGATGGTACTAGTGGTGAATTCTTAGAAAGGTTTCAAAGAAAAGATGGCTCTTAGAATGATCATCAGAGTGATTAGTACAGTCATATACCAGCAAGTCTATGAAACCTAGCTAGAGTCCATCAAAATAGAAAGAGCTGAGTACTGCTAGTATCATATTAAAGAGTCATTTCCTTTTCCTTGGACTCTAAGTGTATAGGAGTAATGAAAGGCAGGTAGGAATCAAGTTTGTTATAAAAAGTTATTAATATTCTATAGAAAAGAAAAAACTTTGGACCAAAAAGTAGAATTCTTTTTGTTATTGCTGAGAAAATTCCACAATAAAAGAAAGAATGAAATTCTTTTCACTCTCAATGAAGGAATAGTAGAAAAGGTCTAATAAAATATATATACTTTCCAAATCATTTATGTTATATGTGGTTTACCATCTTCTATGATGGACATTGTGAACATAAAATTTGATCACATGCTCTTATTTTTAAATGCCTGCTTTGAGATTACTCTATGTCTACAGAGTGCCAAGTATTATTTAGGGACGAAGGGCTTGCCCATTCAAATATGCACTTTTTTTTTTGGAGTAGAATTTAAGCAGCTCAATTACCATCACAGGGAAAAATGTCTTCTTTAACTGAGCTATTTTGCCCTTTTCTCCTCAACACCATTATATCTAGGTTCATTGGTTAAGATGTGTGTGTGTGTGTGTGTGTGTGTGTGTGTGTGTGCGCGCATGCAAACAAAAATTTCATAATTTTCCATTTATGACTGGAATACTGTAAAACTTTGCTTAGACAGCAAATGTGAAATATTTTTAAGGAATACATTGGAATGAAGAAAAATAAATATCAAAGTAGAGGAAAATAAACATAAAAGTAGCAATACATGAAGGCAAAACCAAGAGCTGAAAGACACAGGCTGAGAACTATAATACAAGCAATATTTATATTTTAATTGTGACAATTTATATTATTAATATCCACATGTGAGAAGATTGGAAGAAATTAAAATAAAATGTTACCTATAGTTAGTCAAATACAATTTTATTTATTTGTTTATTTGTTTGTTTATTTTTGTTTTTATTTTGTGGGGGTCAAACCCAGGGTCTCATGCTTGCTGAGTACTCTACTCTGAGCTACAACCCCAGTTCCTAAAAATAATTTAAATTTGCTTTGTGTACACTTAAATGTCCTGCCCTTCTCTATATACTCATTGTTTCTGTTCCTCTCTGAATTCTCACTTTCTCATGATCCTACTCTCACTTCAATCTATCTCAAAAGGTAAGGACTTAAAAATGAGCTGTTGGTATATGTTCTCTTCTAAAGACATGATTATTGTAATTATAGAAACAAACAAAAATGACATTTTGTTTTCTTAATATGTAGGAAAAGGTTCTTGGTGCATTTCTGTTTTGTAGACTTAAACATTGTAATTATGGGCAAATATTAAAACACTTAAAATTGTTTTAAAACTTAATATCAAAACTAAGCAAATATTTAAGACAGGATTCTGGAAACCATTTCATTATAGAAATTGAAAATGTATTTAAATATTTTATGAACTCATCCAAACACTATGATCATCCTAGATAATCCACTCTATACAACCCAAATCAGACATCTGCTTTGGAGACCTTGACGTTGAATGTAGTTTTCCAGATTTCTGAGATAAACTGGACCATTGCCAAATCATTGTCAGGTCATGTTGTGAAAATATAGCTTACTATCCAAAACATTAACCTATTGCTTTAGCTTCTCTCATTTCTGCCTCTAGGCCTGGTGAAACTTCAATAAATATAAACAGATGCTATCTAACATATGGTTTCCATCAGTGTACAGTTGTAAAATGGCTTAGATTTTTCTAGGGATGCATATCATTTCCCTATAAACATATTCATTAGTGTATGTAAGTGAGTTGGTATAAAAAATTAACTTATAAATGAAAAGCAAAAATATATATTGGTAAACACATGATATGTTTAAATGAGACTCTGAAATCCAGGGGTATTTTTCAGTATTATCTTGTAACAAGTTTTACTTATTTTAAAATTTATATGTCCTTATTTTTACCCAAAATATTTAAGGCAATTATGTATACACTAAGAGAATGTTTTACAAAACTTTCTGTTTTCTTCAATTTTTACAATACTCCTTTCTATTCTAGCATAACCGCAAAATAGAAAATATGGTTCATGGTCTGGATTATTTCCACTTCACATTCTCTGCATGCAATTATTTTAGAAAACATTTCAATATGCAATTTCAGCCAGCAGATTTAGAGGCAATTGGTGCAAGGGCATCAACAGCATCATTACATTATATAATGTAACCATGCCTTTTGAATTATCTTTTGGAATGATTAGAAACAGGTAGCATCAAGTCAGGACGTGTGATTCAGAGTGGGCTTCGAAGCCTGACCTGAGAGTGAATCCAAACCCTGCCATCTATTTACAGGATGAATTTGTGTCATCTAAAATCTCTAATCCTCAGTTTCCTTATCTATAATGTAGGAACTTTCATAGAAATAGCTTGAAGGTTAAGTGATATAAATCACACCATATGATCAGCATAACATTCAACCTATGGAGAGCATTCCATGTTAATTTAGCTATTATTTTCTGACATCATCATCACATGACTGATCTTAATCAAATACAGTAATCATTTTTTTGTCACATATAGTAAAAATAGCATCAAGTAATATAAAATTGTCTCTATACTAAAACATATGTTTTAAGTAACTCAACAAAACAATAAAGACACTGTGATTTTTTTGTTACAAAACACAAGACTTTAGTATTAAGAAGATAATTTAGTATTAAGAAGATAATTTCCATATAATAAAATGGATTTAGCAACCTAAATTACTTTCTGTAAAGAATTTCTTCCCTTCCATAATTGTCTCCAAATTACTACATTTGCTATTATGATGACCCTAAACATTATACTATTTCATCTTCAAAATTTTTGCTACTATTAAGGACAGAATCTGCATTGGTTTTCCATTTGGTTTTGAGTTGATCTAAAAATTTCAAAACTGCTTTTGTCAACACTAATTATGAGCAAAACACATCATCAAAGGAGTGAATACAAGCAATACAAATATATCCCAGTTTACAAAGTGCTGCTTTCTCATTCTAATTGATCTTATTTAATAAATAAATGTGCAGGTCTTTTTTCCAAGAAGACACAAATCATATATTTGAAAGGAAAGTTCATACCAGTCTGAACACTACTGGAAAGAACAGGCAGAAAGCAACAAATTTACTAAAAGAGTAAAATCAGTATTTCTATGCTTTGTCTACTGAATGGAAGCTGCAGCTGATAGAGTCATTTGACTGTTCCACAAGGAATACATATGAACTTTTTCTAATTGCTGTCTTTTGGAGGTTACTTGTGATCCATGGACAGATTAGAAAGAGCATGAGTGTTTCTACCAAGGTACTACAAGACAATCCCCCTGGAGGAGAAATGGTAGCACTTCCTCCATAATGCCCTCTTGTTCCCTGTCCTTGCTTTGTAAAGCTTCTGATTCAATGTAAATGAGAGTGCAGGGCTGAATGGGGAAAGGCCCTGTTCATTTTCTGTGGCTAACTGCAGTCCTTCCATTTATGAATTGCCTTGTTACCAGTTCTGTTTCTAGTTTCCCAATAGACAGGAAACAGAGAAAACAGGAAACAGTCAGTCTTTCTGAACCCTCATTATCATTATACCCTAAAAACAATCAAAT